GCTCCCTGGACACCAGCAGCGTGCCAGGCGCTGCGCTGGACAGGGGCGCTCCCCATACCTGGGACCTCCTAGCTCAAAGCTCAGGTCCAGGGTGTGGGGGTGGGCAGGGAAGCAGCGACTCCAGGCCCTCTTGGAAAACAGAGGGGTCTCCAAACCTGCCCCCAGCAAAGTCTTCCTCGAGATGGAAACCACAGAACCCAGTTTCAAGGTCTGGGTGGGAATCAGCCAGGCAACATGAAGCCGACAGGGCTTGCCCAGGGAGGGGCAGCCAGAGCCGTGGCACACAAGTGGGCAACAGTTTGGTGCCTGCGTTTCTCCAGATCCCTCTCAAACATCTCATTCCGCTGTGCACAGCGTTGAAGGTGTGCGGTGACTTTCAGAGGAAGGAATGGTGGAGTGCGAGTGCTGGGATGAACTTGCACACGGGGCGAGGCGGGGAGGCCCAAGCGCTTGGCTCCCTGTCCTACCTTTCCAAACCACGGTGTGGGGACACAGCGCAACCCCTGCCCTGGGGCGCTGCAGTGATGCCAGTCATCTCATGCCTTGCCAGCTCAGTGACTGGGGAAGCAGCCCTGGAAGAGTCCAGCGCACCTGGCATTGGGCGGGGGCTGCTGCTCTGTGGGTCTCTGACGCTTGCCCCCACTCGGGTGGTTGGATGGGTTTCTCTGTCAGCCTGTGCAGAAGGTTCCAGAGTGGATGGGCAAAGCTGGGGCACGGGGGTCAGTGGATCTGAGTTGGAATGCCGGTCGTGCTAGTTTGTCAGTATCTCCTCTGGTCATTCCTTGACCCTGTCCGTGCCTCAGTTTCCCCAGCTGTGAAAAAGGAAAGAATGGCTTTTACCTCTCAGGGGTGAGAGGGACTTGTGAGACAAGGTGAAAAGCAGATTGAGGCAGTGCAGGTGGGGTGTGCGTGGTCATTCCTGGCAGCTCAGGGCGCTCTGTGTGCGTCTGGTTTTTCCTTTCTGAGCATTTCCCCCTGGTGACTTCACGTGGAAGGCCCGGCCTTGTTACCCCACGGCTCGGTGGCCCTTTGAGGCTTGGCGGGTCTTGGGCCTGCTTCTTGGGACCCAGAGGTACCAAGGGCAGAGCTTAGAATAGGCCAAAAAGCCGGCACTGCGGCTCAATAGGCTAATCCTCCACCTTGCGGCGCCGGCACACCGGGTTCTAGTCCCGGTCGGGGCACTGGATTCTGTCCCGGTTGCTCCTCTTCCAGGCCAGCTCTCTGCTGTGGCCAGGGAGTGCAGTGGAGGATGGCCCAAGTGCTTGGGCCCTGCACCCCATGGGAGACCAGGAGAAGCACCTGGCTCCTGCCATTGGATCAGCACGGTACAGTCATTGGAGGGTGAACCAACGGTAAAGGAAGACCTTTCTCTCTGTCTCTCTCTCTCACTGTCCATTCTGCCTGTCAAAAAAATAAATAAATAAGAATAGGCCAAAAAGGAAAAAAAAAATGATGAAATGGTTTTCTTGCTAAGTGCCTATCTGAGCCGGTCCTGGGCTTGGTCTTGGGGCAGCCTGGTTTTGCTGTTACCTGTGCATCCTCAGACAAGTTCATGGCTTTGAGTGCCATGTCTGCCCCTGTGACGGTACAGGCTAAGTATCTTAGCCAAAATGCTAGGGGCCAGAAGTGTTTCTTCTGACTTCAGCAATTTTGATTCGCAACCACTGGCATGGAGTATCCATTGAGCACCCATAATTTGAAAATCTGCCCCACAATGCTCTGCTCTCTGGTTACGGATGTTCAGCCTGTCTTACCCTCCCCAGGAGGGCTCCGTGAGGGTGAGAAGGGTTGGTGCAGTTTCCAGGGCCTGCTTGGTCTTAGCTGTTAGGATACCACCTGACCGTGCCTTCAGGGGCCTGCAGGAAAGGGAGGGAGGAGGGGGGAGACCCAGAAGAACAGGGGCGCACAGAGGGAGAGGGCCCTGGGACACGGAGCCCTGGTCTCTGCTGTGTGCTTATTCCTGGTGCCTGGCGCACCGCAGCCCCTCACAGGTGGGTGCCGAGGGACTGCAGCAGAGGCAGGGCATGACAGGGGAGAAGGGCCCTGTTCTGTGTCCCTGCAGCTAGACCAGGTCACGGCAGGGCTCTGGGGCTTCCTGGTACCCGGAGCAGCCCCGTCCGCACACTGCGGGTGGCAGGGGATGGAGTCCCTGCGGCCAGGCCTCGGTGTCTGGGGCTGTTCTGTTTAAGAGGAGAAAGTCTTTGAGTACCTCGTCCACAGTCCTGCAGCCTTCCAGCGGTGTTCAGAGGGGTGTCCTCTAGGTCTCCTCCAGCTCACACCCTTTCCTTCACTTGCCAGATTTTTTTTTTTTTTAATATTTATTTATTTAATTTGAAAGTTACACAGAGAAGGAGAGGCAGAGAGAGAGAGAGAGAGGTCAGGTCTTCCATCCACCGGTTCACCCCCCAACTGGCTGTAACAGCCAGAGCTGCACCCATCCGAAGTCAGGAGCCAGGAGCTTCCTCTGGGGCTCCCACGTGGGTGCAGGGGCCCAAGCACTTGGGCCATCTTCTGCTGCTTTCCCAGGCCACAGCAGAGAGCTGGATGAGAAGTGGAGCAGCCAGGATTTGAACCCACATGGGATGGTGCCCACATGGGATGCTGGCACTGCAGGCGGTGGCTTTACCCGCTGCGCCACAGCGCCGGTCTCCACTTGCCAGGTGTTTTGAACTTCACTTAGCTCCCACCTGCCACCCCCAGACTGTGCCCTTCTCTTACTCCCTCTGCTGGAAACGCCATCTCCCTGGCCCCTCAGCCCTGTCTGGCTTACTCTGATCACCCTATCATCCTGGGGTCTCTGTTTAGATGTCACTTTCACTGGGAAGCCTGCCCTCACCTGGCCCCAGGTGGGATTGGGTGACTCACCTGTGTGCTTCCACGGCCCCTAGGCTACTTCTGTTTTGAATGCATCACGCGATGTTGTGATTGCTGGGTTTCTGCCCCACTAGACTTCACGTGCAGAGAACAGGAACCAGGTCTCTTGTACGTTTTGTCTCATCCCCAGTATGGCACATTCACAGAGTAGGTGCTCCAGTCACCCATGCTGGGACTAAGGGATGGCAGTGTTGCACAGGTACAGTGTGTTGGCTGTCTTGAATTTCTTGATTTTTAAACGGGAGACCCTGAATTCTTACGTTCTACACTGGGCGTCACACATGCGGGTGAGAGATTCAGTCTGAGGGGTGGCCAGGACCACAGCAGCCAGGGAGTGGCCTCTTCCCGTTGTGCCACGGAAACCAGCCCATCCGGGATGCCCCAGCCGTTCCATCTGGCCGCTGTCCTAGCGACAGCAGTAATTCTCTCTTCCCTGTAGCAGTTTCCTATGGCTACGGTAACTAATTACCCGACCTTTGCGGCTTCAAAACCCCATGGTTTTATTATCTTGCAGTTCTGGGGGTCACAAGTGTCACTGAGCTGAAATCAGCGTGGCAGCAGGGCGGCCCCTTCTGGCACTCCAGGGGAGAAGCCGCTTCCTTCCTTGCAGTGGAGGAAACTGAGGCTGAGACCCCCAGCTGGGGCGGGGGGCTATCTAGTTGGAAGCTCCGGGCTCCCGGCCACTAGGAAAGGAGGCCCTTCCGTCCATCTCTGTCTCCCTCCTGCCCCTTGCACGTCCCCCCACAAGCCCAATCCCTGGTGCTTTTCAAGGTAGCCAGGCACCGGCAGTTACAGCCCAGAGCATGTGTGCCCATCACAGCTGACACGGGGACAGATAAGCACATCCATCCAACTGGGACCCGGACAGAGGGACGAGGCCGCCCTTCCAACCGCTAACAGGGTCCCAGGCCACTTAATCATCAACATTTTATAATTAGGCCTCTCCTGGGTGCCACAGAGCGGGGCCCTGTGCTACAGAGGCTGTGCTGCACAGCTGCCAGGCCACGTGGCAGGGCCCTTCCAGCTCATGGGCCCAGGCTCTGAGAACAAGGGAACCGTGGCCAATGAAACCAGGAGCCCGACTGCTGCTGCTGACGGCCAGAGTTCTCTACCCAGCCTGGCAGTTCCTGCGGGGCCTCGGCCTGGCCCCAGGGATTCCCATCAGCCACCCCTGGGGCCGGAGCGCCAGAGCCTGATCCCAGCCCCAGCCGCTGGCACGCTCTCTGGCCTCCTCCTCATCTGGCCCCGGAAGCCAGAAGAGCAGACTGTGTAGGAGGTTGGGGGCAGGAGGGAGAGAGAGACACCCCCTTTTGTGGACTCTGGTCTTTAGCAATGAGTGTCCAGTCACCAGGAGGCAGATGTGGCCGCGGGTCAGAGCAGCCAAGCCGACACCAGACAGGCCTGGATTCCAGATCCCAAATCTCTCAGGCCTTAAGCAGAATGATGACCCTCTCTGAAACTAAGGGTCAGTGTTCCTCATCCACGAACTGGGGGGAATCGTTTGTCCTGTCTCTGGGGATGTTACCATCAACTGAGAAAATAGCAAGCAAATTTTCAGCTAATGGCTTATTTTAAATAACATATGTAAGGATTAAAAAAATAACTAATACCTATGTACCCAGCTGTTTAAAAAAAAAATTTGGGGGGGGGGGTGTTGGAGGTAGAATCAGAGGCTTGCCAATGCTGCAGTGAACTTAGAATGTAGAGGCCCTGAGCAAGCGCCAGAGCAAAGGACGTGTACCAAGGGGCTTGCACTGCCTAAAGCCTGCGGATGACGGTCAGCGCTGGCCACTAGCCTGAGCCACCAACTCTGCATTCATTCCACAAAGAAAAAAAAAATTATACGTTTTAAGTATGTACTGTATGCTAGGCACTGGGTGTTGTAAAGATGACAGTGAATGAAACACGCCAACCCAGACAGACAGGGTCCCTGCCTCCCTGGGGGGATCGCCAGTAACCACACACACAAAACTCAGACTGCCAGAAGAAGCCTAGGAAGTAAAACTAAACAGAGGCCATGGAGGGTTCCTTTGGTAAACAGGAAGGCTTTCGCGTGGACTTGACACTGAGCCTAAACGGCTGCTCCCTCGCCACGTGGCTTTGATTCAAGGAAGCCTCATCCTCACCTCTGCAAAGTGGCCGGGAAGTAACGCCCTGCCCCATGCGCCTTCGGGGACAGGCGCTGACCGGTGCCAGGGCGCGGTGAGCTCTCCCCTTCCAGCTGCTTTGACGCGTGGGGCCGGGAGGGCTGCTGGCCGGCGTCTTTTTCAGGGTACCAGTGTCTGCTGTAGGGTCAAGGGCACCTGGTACAAACCCCCGCTCCGCAGCAAGTCACTCACCCCTGCGGACCCGCCGTGTGGAACGGCCCGTGCAATCCCCCTCCGGTGGGGCAGGGACCCGAAACACTAACTGCCCAGTGTCTCGTGGGCGCCTGGCCAGTGTGGCCGCGGCCGCTGTTCTCCCGGGAGCAGGGAGAGGCTGCTGCAGAGGTCTGGGGTGCAGGAAGGGAGTCGGAGTGACGGGCCTCTGCCCTGCGGGGGCACCCCGGCTCCCTCGTCTGGGAGACAGGGCCGAGAGCTGTGTCCCCTCGCACGGCCCGTCAGGTAGGTCGTGTCCACGCACCTCGGGGTTCACGAGGCGCGCAGCCACGGCGGTCACCCTCTGCTGGCCTTAGGGGCGACCTGTTAGCAAACAAGGGCGGGAGAGGGCGGACCCAGAGGCGTAAAAGAACAGCAAAGGTGGCTTTGGCCCTCCAGGCGGGGAGGCCTGAGGGCCGGGGGCCGGGGGCTCGGTGTCCGGAGGCGCCGCGAGCCCGCGGCGCGGGGCTGTGACCTCATCGGCCGGCGCCGTCCCGCGGGGCCATGAGATCATGAGATGCCGGCGCTCGCCTAGGAGTCGATTTGTTGGGAGCGCGGGGACAGCCGGCGGCCGGCTGAGGTGATCTCATCCCGGCCCGGGGGAGGAGGAGGAGGAGGCGGAGGAGGAGGTAGGCGGCCCACCCCGCCCGCGCCGCCGGCCGGTGACGTCACCGCGGCGCCCGTTGCCAGGCAACGCACGCCCCCTGGACGCCGTCCCCGCCGCGGGCCCGCCCTCCACCGACAGCGCGCTCCTCCGTCTCCTGTTTTACCTTTAACTGGGGCGCGACCTTGTATGGCAAAGGGCCTAGGCGTGAGGATTGCACTCAGGCGGTTTCCACACACTGTAGCCGTCCAGGTCCGCGCACCAGCACAGCCGCGCCGGGCGGAGGTCTGGAGCCAGTCACTGTTCCAACGAGCACGCCGTGGCCGGCCTCGCGGACTTTGGGAAGCGGGCTACTCAGCGCAGGGCGCGCGCCCAGTGGTCGCTTGGGCGCTGTGGGTGCGCCCTGGGTGCGGGGCTGCCGCACCGCTCTGCTCTCTGTGTGCAGGAGACAGACGCTTTAGTCTCCTGTGTGTGTCTCGCGCGCTCTGCACATCTCAGTCCAGGGCCCGGCAGCCGTGTGTGCCCACGACGTCGCCAGCGCTGACGTTCAGAGGCAAAGGCACCCGATCCTCTGTCATCGCCCCTCTCCAGGCCCCCCTCATCCCTCGCCCCCACCCCCACGCCCCGCTGTTTCTCTGCTGTTCCTCGGAGTGCCGCAAAGCAGCCGCTGGGAAGTCAGGACGGGTTGGAATCCTGGCTCTCACACTGTCGGGCAACTCGACCGCGTGCTCCGTGGCCCTGAGCCAGGTTCCTCCCCTGTCACCTGGGGCGGATAAGAACCAGTCGCTCTCTGGGGGCTGTCAGCTTGGGGGCAGCACGCTGGAAGTGTGAGCTCAACGGAAACTCCCAGCTCACCAGCCCTGGCCCGTGCCCTTCCCTCCCTGCAGGTTTCATCTCTTGCCCATCCTGTGATCCCCTCCCTTGTTTGGCCTTCTGCTTTGGTCTTCCTTCCCCTGCCTCTGGGTTGGAGCTTTCGCACCTGACGAGTGGGATTGGTCAGAGCCACCCACAGGTTCCCCTCCCTCTCCGCCCCCTTGCCCTTCCTTCTAGCTCCTTCTGGCCTGGAACTCCATCTTCCCTCCCACCTGAAGGCCCGCTCTCCTGCCCGGCTTCTCCCTCCTCCCCTGCATTTCCCCTCCACTGCCTTTCCACCCACAGCTGCCACGTCCACACTGCTGTCCACCACTGCTCCTGGCCACACCTGTGCTTAGCCCTCACACCCCCCCATCCCTTTCCCAGCCTTTTCTACACAAGGAAGACCCCGCTGGCCCCTGTGCTCAACAGCTCAGCCCCTCAGAGGTCTCAGCTTTGGGGCTGTTTTGTTCTGAAAGGCTGTGTTGCCTCTGTCCCCATAGCCTTGTGATCATAAAAGACGTGCAGGCTACCTTCCCAGGAAAACAAGCCTTTGTTGTCGGTCCCTGGTGGGGCCCATCCTGCCCATGCCGGAGCAGGAAGCGTGGTCCATTCCCCTGTGCAGTGGAGAACTGAGCTGCAGTCCAAGGGCCCTTTGCTCTTGAACACGCAGGGGCCTCTGGTCCAAAAGGCTGCCAGCATTTCCTGCTTGTCTTCCCCACGTTGAAGGAGGGCATCGACATACAGGAGCTGTTTATCCCCTGTGTGGCACCGCCCCTGCCCCCTCCATGCTTCCAATCACAGGCAGGGTACCCAGCCCATACCATGGCCATGTGACCAGGCCTGACCAGAGAACCTGATGGCCCCAGATGCCCTTCCAGCTCAGTCTCAAAGCGGCCACTTGACTCCAAGACTTGCTGGTCCCTGTGGTAAATGAGCCCAGGGAGGAATGTGGGTGCCTCGTGGCTTGGGTCTGACAGTGGCCATCTTTCCTACCGGATACAGGTGAGCCAGCCCTCTCCTGCCAGCCCTGTTACCTGATCTCTTGGTGCCTCTGATTTTTCCCATCTGTAGAAATGGGAATGTTGCTGGCACCTGCTCGTGGTTCTGGGCGCAGAGGGGGCCTGGCACTCAGAGCTGAGTCATCACCACGGTCCCCACTGTGATTCCCACCTGCAGAGGGTCTGTGCTTGGCGGAAGAGCATGGGCTTACACATCGAGAGGGGACAATCTGAATTGAGATTTGGAGAAGCCACAGAAATAGACACTTAAAAAAAAAAAAAAGATTTACTTACTTATTTGAAAAGAGTTAGAGAGGCTGGCGCCGCGGCTCACTAGGCTAATCCTCCACCTTGCGGCGCCGGTACACTGGGTTCTAGTCCCAGTCGGGGCGCCAGATTCTGTCCCGGTTGCCCCTCTTCCAGGCCAGCCCTCTGCTGTGGCCAGGGAGTGCAGTGGAGGATGGCCCAGGTGCTTGGGCCCTGCACCCCATGGGAGACCAGGAAAAGCACCTGGCTCCTGGCTCCTGCCATCGGATCAGCGCGGTGCGCCAGCCGCAGCGCGCCGGCCGCGGCGGCCATTGGAGGGTGAACCAACGGCAAAAGGAAGACCTTTCTCTCTGTCTCTCTCTCTCACTGTCCACTCTGCCTGTCAAAAAAAAAAAAAAAAAAAAAAGAGTTAGAGAGAGGGAGAGACAGAGAGATCTTCCACCTCCTGGTACACTTCCCAGATGGCCACAAAAGCCAGAAATGAGGAGCTTCTTCTGGGTCTCCCACATGAGTGGCAGGGGCCCAAACACTTGGTCTATCTTTTGCTGCTTTCCCAGGCCATTAGCAAGGAACTGGATCAGAAGTGCAGAGGCCCAGACTCAAACCAGAGCCCATATAGGACACCGGCATCCCAGGCAGTGCCTTTACCTGCAACGCCACAGTGCCAGCCTGAAATAAAAATCCTTGACTGTGGGGAGCAACTGAGACTAGACTAAGGTACTGGAATTAAGACTTATTCTGTGCATCTGCTCTCCCACAATATGGCGCTGGGGAGGAGTAAACTTCTACGCAGCTGCCTCCAGTTCGACCAATAACCTGCAGGAGCTGATCCTGCTCCTGATTGGAGGAGAGCAGCGTGCTCGGCGTGTGGGTAGCGGAGTTGGGATTGGTGGAAGGACTATAAAGGAGGAGAGAGACAACATGCACCAAGAACACCTGAAGGAACATCCGGATAACATCTGAGCAGCCCCCGAGAGAGCCGGCCGGCGGTGTGCCGCTCCCCCACGGAAGCGGGGAAAGCGGCTGGGGGGGGTGTGTGTGTGTGGAGGGGCCGGCAGCTAACCCGGGTCGGCGTCGTTCCTCCACGAATGAAGGAACGGCAGCTAACCCGGGAAGGGCCGAGCAGACAAAAGAACAGCGCAGGGTCCAGTGTCGCTCCTCCCCAAATGGGGGAGTGACACTTGACTACATCACTTGATCTGCACATCCTGGTTACACTCGAAGCCAGAGCCCTGCCTCCCCATCATGCGACCTAACATGTTTGCATCTTTGCGTCAAGCTAGTTCAAGTCAGCTTTCCGTCACTTACAACCAGAAGTGACACCGGTAACCGTTTTAACAGTGGCTGGAGGCCCAGAGTGTCACCGCTGGGTCCACAGCTCCATCGCACAGAACACTGAGGCCCAGAGGCAGATAGTAGGTGGCCCTTGCCACCCAGCTGCAAAGGAGGCACACCTTGCCCTGTGGCTTCACTCGCCGCACTCGTAGCACTGTCTTCACGTTAGCGACGAGGACCCCCGATAGTCAGCTCTTCCCATTCTGTTCTTCTGGGCCTCAACTCCTTCAGCCTCCTCGGGAGGGACTTCCACCAACCCCCTTTTACCAACGGAGAATCGGAGGCACAAAAGGGCAGAGGAACTTCCCCAGGAACTCAGCAAGAGACGGAATCAGAGTTCAGGCCCACGTCACCTGAGCCCCAAGGTCACACCCTGCACCCTGGTACTTGCTGGAAGAGGCGGGGCTGAGCCTTGCACCCAGGCTGCCGTCCACGTCTGGCCTACACTGCTCATCTTTCCCACGGCTGCGTGCCCAGCACAGCAGTCACTGGCCAGTCCTCCCCTTCCCTTAGCCTTGTCCCGTTCCCAAATGTTGCTAATGTGCAGACTCCTGGTCCCCGGGAGCTTCTAGAACCCTGCCTGCGGGAAGCCTCCCTGTGTGAACCACAAGGTCATTTAGTCTACTCATTTATTCATTCAACAAACATTTGTTAGTTACCCATAAGGGCCAATCTTTCTATAGTAGCTAAGATTCCAGCCAACTGGAGCCGGTGTGCTGTGGTATAGTGGGCAAAGCCATCACCTGCAGTGCTGGCATCCCATAGAGACACCAGTTTAAGACCCGTCTGCTCCACTTCCAATCCTGCTCCTTGCTAATGTGCCTGGGAAAGCAGTAGAAGATGCCCCAAGTGCTTGGGCCCCTGCACCCACCTGGGAGACCCAGAAGAAGCTCCTGGCTTAGGATCAGCTCAGCCGTGGCTATTGCAGCCCTTTGGGTAGTGAACCGGAGGATAGACCTCTTTCTGTCTCTACCTCTCTCTGTGTAACTCTGTCTTTCAAATAAATGAAATAAATGTTTAAAATGAAGTTATCAAGAGAGGCTGTGATGTATAACAGAGGGACATGGGTGGGTTCTGTGCAAAAATCAGGTCATTTTATATCAGGGACTTGCATGTGCACAGGTTTTGGCATCTATGGGGGTTCTGGAACCAGTTTCTGTGGGCACTAAGGGAGAGCTGGACCTTGGGTATTGGGGCTTCAGTGTATGAATTGGGATGGGAGGAGACATTCAGTCCACAATGCCAGCTATGTGTTGTTGTTTTTTTAACCTTTTTATTATTATTTATTTGACAGAATTAGAGAGACAGAGAGAAAGGTCTTCCTTCTGTTGGTTCACCCCCAAAATGGCCGCTACGGCCAGAGCTGCACCGATCTGAAGCCAGGAGCCAGGTGCTTCCTCCTGGTCTCCCATGCGGGTGCAGGGCCCCAGCACTTGGGCCATCCTCCACTGCCCTCCCGGGACACAGCAGAGAGCTGGACTGGAAGAGGGGCAACCGGGACAGAATCCGGTGCCCATATGGGATGCTGGCACCACAGGCAGAGTATTAACCAAGTGAGCCAAGGTGCCAGCCCCGCTACATGGTCTTAAATGAGTACTCTAGTGCGATTTTTTTTTTTCTGGCTTAAAACTACAATCATTTTATCATCTCTCTATTCTGAGGCCCAGGGAGTTGAGTCAGGGCCATGGGGCCAGCTCATCCCTCTCCTACTTGGCCTCTGCTGGGGCTGGACCACCCAAGACGGTGTCATGGCTCCCAGGTGTCTGTCTCAGCTGGAGTGGCTCGCGTGGTTCCTGTATGTGCCTCTGAGTTCTCACAGTGGGCTGAATCCCCCGCTTCTCCTCCTCCTTGCCATCTCGGAGCCATTTCTCCACGTGGCCTCTTCCCCTGGCCTCTCCTTGTAGCCTGGGTTTCTCCCAACAGGCAGGAGGAAGGTAGCCGTGGCTGCTGGATCTCTAGGCCTGGGCCTGGAGCCTCAGAGGTCTCTCCTGCCTGCATCCCAATGTCCCTTGGTTCTGTGAACCTCCTGTTTCTCCTCTCGAAACTACAGTGAAAACAGCATAGTGCTCATATTCCTTGCTATGCGTCCTTCATCCAACAGCTAGCGAGTGTCTGATTATGTCTCGCCCACCCTTCTTCCCCACGATCCCTCTAGTCGTCTGTCCCGTCTGCATTCACACAGATTCTTTGTTCCCTTCGTGTGCTGCTCAGCACCCACTCTCCCTCACCTGCCACCCCTTGTGGGGCCAGCCTTCTGCTGCTTCCTGGTTCCCCACTTCACTCTTCCCACCCCGTCCTGGCAGAGAGGAATAGACTCTGCCCCATCACCAGAGTCCATGCGGGGAGCCAGCAGTGGCCCAGCGCCGCCTGTGACAGTGGCTCCCGTCCCCCGTGTGCCTCCTACTTGGACGGTTCTCCTGGCTCACCCACACCCCAGAGAAGCCCACATTCCGTTTGGTGGAATTCCGAAACGACTCAGTTAGGGAGCGAGGACGTCCCTGGGAAATGCCCCGTTCTCCCCGGGGTTTGGTGTCCCCCTCAGAGCGCCCCTGCCCCCGCAGCTAACTGCTGTCTCGTCACTGCCCTGCGTCTTCCGGGACATGCGTGCTCGCTCGGGAGCAGATCTGTCTGCAGCGTTCCACAGCGAGGGGTCAGGAAGCTAATGCGAGGGAGAGGGTGGACTCTCTAGCTTCACGGGCGCAGCGAGCACCCGCCGTGTGCTGGGTGCTGGGGAACACCCACAGCCAAGGTTCCTCCTTCACCTCGGGCCGGCGGGGAACACGCCTTCCTCCCTCGTCCTGCTCATCCACGCAAGCGCTGCTGCTGGGGCTTGACCTTGCACTCATCCTCTGGGGACCTTGTGGAGCTCGAGTCCTCGGGTGAGGCCCGAGACCCTGAATTCCTGCTTGCCCACACTCAGCCATCGCTATGCTTTGTGCATGGGCCGCACTTTGGGTCTCAAGGCGTTGAAGATGGCTCAGATGAAACCTTCTCTTAGAAGACTTTCCTGCTCAGACCCCGTCTGAAACCCGCCCGTGCTTACCTCTAGCAGAGTTCTGCCTCACTGTGCGGCAGTAGCTGCTTAGTGATGGTCTTCCTCGTTGGAGAGTGAGTTTCCTGAGAACAGGGATGAAACATCACTGTCTGGTACAGAGAAAGTGTCTAGAAATCGGAGGGAGGGAGGGAGGGAGGGAGGTGGGCAGATGGATGGATGGAAGGAAGGACGGGAGAGAGGGAGGAAAGGTGGATGGACGGACGTTTCACTCCTTCTGTCTGGGAGTATACTGAACCCAGGGAGGAGTGACAAGAGCAGGTTAAAGGTGTAGGCTGGGAGAGATCGGGCTGTTGCTCCAGGATGAGATGGAACATACGATCCGAGTGGGAGCAGTTCGGGAGACGGAGGAAAGCATGGGGCAGTGAGGTTGAATGAATCAGGAAGGCAAAGTTTGTCGGAGAGTCGGGGCCTCCTGTGAAGACTGGGCAAGGGGGGCGGGGCAGGGAGCCATGGCCCTTGTCGCCCACTGAGCTGCCGTCCTCTGGCCACGGACAACAAGCCTGGCGGCATTTCTGGTCTCCGGTCACCCCCACCTGCCACGGGTTCCGGAGGGAAAGCAGGAATGGCCCTCCAGAGGATGTTTCTGGGGGCCAGGGACTGGTGGGCGTCAGGTGGGGAGGGGCGAGCCCTCTGGAAATGGCCAAACGGTCACAAGGTGAAAGTGAGCGGGAGACTGGTACCCTTCCCTAGTCCTTGGCCGTGTGCGTACATCTGCTTTGAGAGGTGTCCTCCCAGTGGCCGTCGGGCCATCCTATAAAGGGTGGCTGCCCAGTACCCACGTGGCACACACTGGGCTCTTTGTAACTAATGAAACACCTCACGTGCTCAGTACAAAAACCAACGAAGAGGAGCAGAAAGATGCTGTGTGCTGTCGCAGGTCTTCTCCCTGACTTTCCCGGGTAGAAGTCTCCAGGTTCCCCGAATCTCCGCCTGAGAACTTGGGTCCAACCCTGGACTAGGAAACAGATGTTAGTGGGGTACCTGGGAACTAGTGGGGTACCTGGGAACATCTGAGTGAGGTCTGTGGTTTAGTTAACAATACCAGTATCCATGTTAATGTCCTGGCTTTGTTCATTAGCACTGTCATTTATACTGCTGTCAACCTTAGGGGGAGCTGCATGAGAGCTCTAAGTCTAAAATTATTTCAAAATCTAAAGTTAAAAAAGAAGTCATCCTTGTGAAGCGTATCTTTTATTAAGATTTACTTATTTTGTTGGAAAGGCAGAGTGACAGAGACAGACAGGCATTGTCCATCTGTTGGTTCACCTGCCAAATGGTCACAATGGCTGGGGCTGGGCCAAGGTAAAGCCAGGAGGCTGGAGCCTCATCCAGGTGGGTGGCAGGGGCCCAAGCACTTGGGCCATCTTCTGCTGCCTTCCCAGGCACATTCGCAGGGAGCTGGATTAGAAATGAAACAGCCAGGACTTAAACCAGCACCCATAGGGGATGCCAGTGATGTGAGTGGCAGCTGAATCCACGATGCTGGCCCCTGTGTGTTTGCTATAATCAAGGTTGAAGTATCATTTAATACGATACACAGATTTGGTGGCACATATTTCAGTGAGTTTAAGCAAATGTTCCTATATAGCCAGTATCCTGATTAAGATCTTTCTATCAGTGTCCAGAGTTCCCTGATGCCCCCTTGCAGGAAGTCTGCCCTGCCTCTCAGTGTAGACAACCACTGATCTGATGTTTAAAATAAGTTTATTCATTCATCCTTTCACTCATCGAGGGAGGGAGGAGGGAGGACGAAGGGAGGGAGAGAGAGAGAGAGAGACGGACGGACAGACAGACAGAATCTCCAATCTGCTGATTCGCTCCCCCAGTGCCCACAGTCACCAGGCCTGGGCTAGGCTGAAGCCAGGAGCCAGAAACTCAGTCCAAGTTGCTGATGTGATTTCTCTCTCCCCAGGTTAGGGGCCCCTGTTCCAGGACTCCCTACGAACCAGAATTAGACGATGTGCGCCCCTTTGTCCCTGTCTGCTCAGGTTGCACGTGGTGTCTGTGAGAGTCACCCACTTTGCTGTGAAGCAGGCTTCTGTTGATTTTTGTTCTCAAGTAGATCCTATGGTGTAAATGTGCTGCAGTGTGCCCGTGTGTGTTCTCCCACGGATGCACATTCAGGTTTTCAGTTTGCGATTTTATGATCCAAGCTGCTGAGGACCCTGGTGTGCAGGAGGACGCGCGCCCCCACTTCTCCTGGGTAAACACGGTCTCACCACGCAAGTCGGTGTGACTTGGACACAGCAGAGCAGCTCCATTTTGCAGCGTAGGCCACAGGAAGCTGAAGGGACTTGCGCCAGGGCAGAGGAGAAAGGACAGTTGACCCTGTCCCCATGTGCAACGTCGGGTGCTTTTCCTCTTCCTCTCCATTGCTCCTGAAAGACGCCCCCAAGGCTGGAAGTCGGGGTTCCCATCCTGCAGACTAGGACACTGAGGCTCGTGAACCTACAGCAGATGAGGCAGTGGGTGGACCCAAGTCCATGTTCTCTGCCCAGGGAAAATCCGTCGTGTTCTTGGAGACGGCAGGTGATGGGGCCAGGAGGGTCGCCCAACTCCCTGCTCTCGGCCTCGGCCTCGTGGTCTGGCCTCACCTGCATCTGCCTCCCTTAGGGTGGTCATCTGTGATGCCTGAGTCAGCCCTCTAGGGAGGAGGGTGGAGCGGGTGCAGGGACAGGGACTATCTGTCCACATGGGGCTCTGAGTCTTCCAGGCTGCAGAGAGAACCGGGGAGTGACCCACGCTCCCGCCCTCTGCCACAGGCATCCCTTCGCCCTCCCTGGCCTGGGCCCTGTGATCTGGGCTGGCAAGCAGTGGTCGAGGGACGTAAGCAGGGCGTCTCCCTGGCCCCATCGCAGCCCTGTCAGAGCTGCCTCGTGTGCTCCCCAGAGTCCGTGAATGAGTGGTCCGTGTGAGGCTGCTCGGCACGGTCCTCCCAGACGATGACGGGCCGTCCGGCCATCCGTGTGCTTGCAGGGGAAGTTCTACCTGGTCATCGAGGAGCTGAGCCAGCTCTTGCGCTCCCTGGTCCCCATCCAGCTGTGGTACAAGTACATCATGGGGGACGACGCCTCCAACAGCTACTTCCTGGGAGGGGTCTTGATCGTCCTCTACAGCCTCTGCAAGGTGAGGTGGCCGTGGGAGGGCGGCTCGTGCACTCAGCAGGCCTGCCGAGGGCCTTCTGGGAGCCTGGAATCCCCATGCTAATGCTTGTGTAATTGATGCAAAATGTACGGAACACACAACTAACCACTTATCATGCGAAGTGTAGATTGCAGTGGCACTTAGTGTCGTGCAGCCAACACCTCTGCCTAGGGTATGTTCATCTCCCCGGAAGGAAGCCCTGGGCCCCGTAAGCAGCCACTCCTCACTCCCCGCCCCCACTCCTCTTCCCCAGCTCATGGCAGCCACCTAGCCACTCTGTCTCTGAATTAACCTACTCTGAATGCTTTTATGAAAACAGTCTTACAATGTCTGACTGTTGGTGTCGCCTTCTTTCATTTAGCATAACATCCTCGCAGTTCATCCACTTTGTAGCTTATTTAAATTTTGTTGTGTATTTATTTAAGAGACAGAGAGAGATAGGCAGAGTACTCCCATCCACGGGTTCACTCCCCAGATGCCCGCAACCACTGAGGCTAGGTTGGGGCTGAAGCTGGAAGCTGGGAACCCAGTCTGGGTGCCACATGTGTGGCAGGGACCCAAGTACGTGAGCCATCACCTGCTGCCTCTCAGAGTTTGCTGTCACAGGGAGCTGGAGTCAGGAGCCATAGCCAGGGGCTGAACCAAGGTACTGTGATGGAGGACATGGACATCTTTTTTCTTTTAACATGTATTTATCTGTTTAAAAGGTGGAGTTACAGAGAGGGGGAGGCAGAGAGAAAGTCTTCCATCTGCTGGTTCACTCCCCAAATGGCTGCAATAGCCTGGGCTGGGCCAGACTGAAGCCAGGAGACAGGCGCTGCATCCAGGTCTCCCTTGTGGGTGCAGGGACTCAAGGGCTTGGGCCATCTGCTGCTGCTTTCCCAGGTGTGTTAGCAGGGAACTGGATCAGAAGTGGAGCAGCTAGAACTTGAACTGGCACCCGTATGGGATACCGACACTGCAGACGGTGGCTTAATCCACTACAGCAACGCTGGCCCCAGACGCGGGCATCTTAACACCCGCTGCGTCAGTACTTACGATGTCTCGAGCCCCCTTGTCTCTTGCCTGTGAAGCAATGTCCTTTGACATTGTCATTTTCACAGCAGCCGTTCGACAAGCACTGTTATTACTTCCATTTTATAGTCAGGGAAACTGAGGCTTGCAGAGGTAAAGTTACTTGCCCAGGCCCACTCAGCTAGAGACGACAGAACACAGCATCAGACCCAGGCAGGCTGCCTTCAGAGCTGGAGGTGTTAACCACCTGCCACTGAACCGCCAGTGCTTTGCTTTCATCGTTAGTTCAGATCCTGGGTTTTTTTTCCCCAAAAATAACAGCGTCTACCAGACAGACATTTGACTTGCTGCTGAAGACACCCACATCTCATATTGGAGTCCTTGAGTTCAGGACCCACCTCTGGCTCCGACTCCAGCTTCCTGCTCATGCAGACCCTGGGAGGCACTGGAGATGGCTCAAGTCATTGGGCTCCTGCCACCCACATAGCAGACTTGGACTGAGTTCCCAGCTGCTGGCTTTGGATTCAGTCTGTTATTGTGGCATTTGTGGACTGAACCAGTAGATTAGACACCCCCCCCCAAATATAGAAATTTTAAAACTACATCCTCCTTGGGGCTGGCGCTGTGGCGTAGGGGGTAAAGCTGCCGCCTGCAGCACCAGCATCCCATATGGGCGCCGTTTCAAGTCCAGGCTGCTCCACTTCCTATCCAGCTCTCTGCTGTGGCCTGGGAAAGCAGTGGAGGATGGCCCAGGTCCTTGGGCCCCCACACCCACGTGGGAGACCCGGAGGAAGCTCCTGGCTCCTGGCTTCAGGTCAGGGCAGTTGCGGCCAGGGCAGCCACTTGGAGAGTGAACCGGCGGATGGAAGACCTCTCTCTCTCTGCCTCTCCTCTCTCTGTGTAACTCTTACATTCTCCTCTTTCTTTATTCCTGACTGGAGTGACTCCTAGGGGAAGGGATGTATTCTGTGTTCCTTTCCCCAGCAGGTGCAGCCGTGCAGTGTCAGTCACTGGGGCTTAGCCTGCTTGCTGATTCTGATTAACTGGCAGTGGCTGACTGGAGTGCTAGATGGGTCTGTCTGGGCTCAATGGAATACTTCTGTGATTGATTAGCAATGCCTGCCCTGGCCTCAGGGGTGAAGAAATGCAGTGTGTGTGCCATTTCTTGGCTGTCCTGGCCTAGGGGAGACTGTTGCTATCAGACAGCAAAACAAAGGCTAAGCAAAACTAATGGGAATGAAGAAATAAAACAGGAGAAAACATCTAGAAAGGTTCTGAGTCAAGGACACACCAGCAGGGTGGGGAGGTCTCTCGGGGGGGGGGGGGGCTCTGAAGCACCCTGGTGCCCATCAGCAGTTGTCCTGCTCTCCTTGCAGTCGTTCGACATCTGTGGCCGCGTAGGTGGCGTGAGGAAAGCCCTGAAGCTTCTCTGCACCTCCCAGGTGAGTGGGCTGCGGGGGCCACCACTGAGGCCCCGGGGCCAGGGACCGCGGGTCTCGTGGCGCTTCCCAGGGCCTCGCTCCCACGAGGCCCAGAGCTGTGTTTGCCTCTCCCTTGCCTCGAGCAGAATTACGGGGTGCGAGCCACGGGGCAGCAGTGCACAGAGGCCGGTGATATCTGTGCCATCTGCCAGGCCGAGTTCCGAGACCCTCTGATTCTCCTGTGCCAGGTGAGTGGGGCTGGGCGGGGCCGTCGGGTTGAGGCCGGGGACAGCAGGGCCGCTCCCTGGGGAAGAGCCGAAGTCTGTGCTGAGACCACACCTCAGGGTTCTGCTGTGGGATTGGACGGGGATCTGAGCGGGATTGGAGTCAGCCAGACCTGGGTTCAGATCTCAGCTCTGCCTCTTACTAGCTGGTGGCTTTACTTAGCCTGTCTAAGCCCCAGTTTCCTTGGTCAGAGACAGCAATGCCAAACTCAGGGTGGTGTCCCAGCAAAGTGTGACCCCCGAGGCATTCCCGACGCTGAGTGGGTCACTCACTCCATCCCACTGAGCCTTGGTTTTCCTCCTGTGTGAAATGGGCATAATAATAGCAATACTACTTCCTAGAGCTATCACGACCATGAAACGAGGTCATCTGCAGAGAAAGCCGCATTTGCATTAGTCAGCAGCTGCAGAAGCTGCAGTATCACAACGATTGTGATCAGCACTCGTTTTCGTTATTAGTCGCAGGTCACCCGTCCATGATAGGAAGTGCCGCTCAGCCCCTCTGAACTCCCTCCGCCCCTCCCTGCTCCGCCCCCTGACACCAGGCGCTGGCTGCCAGTTCAGCGAATGTGTGCTGGGCGAAAGCATCCTGTCAAACACCGGGGAGGCGGGGCCCAGGGCCCAGGGACCCTGCCCCTGCCCGGGGAGGAAGCAGACACATAAATAACTAAGACAAGGCAGGCGGTGCTCAGCGCTGTGGAAGAGAGAGGCAGGCAGCTTCCCCGGGGACTGGGGCAGAGGACGGTGGCTCCCAGGTCGGGGAGGGTTTTCTGGAAGAGGCCAGAAGGAATCAGAAGGCAGGTGGCCCCCTCTGCAGCTTCCAGGAGGCAGGGGTCCTGTTCTAGCATCAGTAAAAATTATTTTATTGCTGTTAGAGATTTTAGAGGGGGATCATTTTATTTATTTGAGAGGCAGAGAGAGGGACAGAGACAGATAGACAGTTCCCATGTTCTGGTTCACTTCTCAAATGCCCACAACGGCCAGGGCTGTGCCAGGCTGAAGCCAGGAGCCAGGAGTGAAATCCAGGTTTTGCACGTGGGTAGCAGGGACCCAAGTACTTGAGCCGTCACCTGCTGCCTCCCAGCGTGTGCATTCTCAGGAGGCTGGAATGCAGAGCCGAGCTGGGACTTGAACTCGGGCACTTTGCTCTAGGACGCAGGTGCCTTCACCACCACCAGGCCGAATGCCCACCCCTAATTCTACTTCCTTTCAAGTCGCTAATGTACTTGGATGAGTTGAAACTCAAGAAGGAAACTCAGGAAACACGATGAATAAATGCAGGATGGGACCAGAGCTGGATTCTGGGAGGGAGAAGAGGATTTAGTAGAAAAGCCGTTTCCTGAGACCCAAGGCAGGCCTGCAGTCTGATGGCAGGAGCGCATCGGGTGGGTCGGTTTCCCAGCTCGGATGCAGGTGCCATGGCGGTGCGAGATAACATTCTGGGAGACAGCCGGGTGCGGTGTGTGGAGAGTTCCTGTTCCATCTTTGCAGCTTTTCTGCAAGGCTAAAATAAATCCAAAGTACAAAGCTTATTGTAAAAATGTTCTGAGAGATGGCAAAGGAGAAGGGAGACAGGCCTCCTATAGTGCCCCAACCCCTAGTTTACTCACACAGGCAACCACCATGACCAGCGTCCTTTGTATCCCTCAAGAGCTGCTTTTACAAAATTTACATATATATATATTTTTTTTTTTTTTTTGACAGGCAGAGTTAGACAGTGAGAGAGAGAGAGAGAAAGGTCTTCCTTCCATTGGTTCACCCCACAAATGGCCGCTATGGCTGGCACACTGCTCTGATCCAAAGCCAGGAGCCAGGTGCTTCCTCCTGGTCTCCCAAGGACCTGGGCCATCCTCCACTGCCTTCCCGGGCCACAGCAAAGAGCTGGACTGGAAGAAGAGCAACCGGGACAGAACCCGGCGCCCCAACGGGACTAGAACCCGGGATACTGGCGCCACAGGTGGAGGATTAGCCTAGTGAGCCGCAATGCCGGCCCAGAATTTACATATATTTATATATTCATATATGTATATGTGTATACACACACACAATCTTTTTTTAAACAACATAAGTTGTTGCATATTGTTCACAAGCTGCTTGCTACACCTTGCCTTTTTAACTTGAAACACTGTCTTCAGGATTGCTCCCTTTCTAGTTCTTAGCTGCGTAACACAGGATTTCACGGATAGACCACCATTCGTTTCATCATTCTCCTATTGATAGGCAATTAGTAGCTTCTAATCTCTTGTTATTGCAAATATGGCTGTCATAAGCGATCTGCAGTGGGCAGATCCGTGGCACCTGCCTGGGCCCATTGTGCTGACTAAATGAGTTAATTCAAGGGTAGCCATTTGGACGACCCCTGGCACATGGTCCGAGTTGGATAAATACTAGCCCTTATGGGCACACATTCCATTTCACACATTTGCAGGCTCTTGGTAGCATCAATCCCCGGCAGTAGAACTACCAGGTCAGAGGGTGCACGGTTTGGACAGCTTTTGCTAAATTCCCCTGCGTGAAGAATGCACCGCTTGCGCCCCCAGCTCGGAGCGGGACGTGGCCTCCTGCTCCTTCCCTCACCAGCGCTCAGCGTTACCCAGCTTCTTTTGAGCTTTGCCAGTCTGACAGGTGACAAATGCCGTCTCAGTGCGCTTGCGATTTGCATTTCCCTAATTATGAGCGTGGTTGAGCATCTTTTCAGATGCTTCCGAGCCATCTGTATTTCCTTCCCAGGAGCAGGGATTGTTTGAACATGACGTCAAGGTAGAAGTCTTTCTTCTCTGCCGGCAATCTCTCCGAGCCTCAGTCTGGAGGCCTCTTCCCCGTTTGTCCCCTGGTCCCACTGTGCCTGCCCACCGCTGGGTTAGGAGTCCTTAGGCGGGCTCTGACGAGACGCCATTGTCCCAGGTCCGTGGTGGTTGAAGACCGCAAACATCACCAGGCTGAGCCTTCACCCAGCCCTGCCCTGCCTGCTCGCCCCCTTGCGGGGCCTGCACGGGCCCCGACGACTTGCACAGGTGCAAGGGCCTTGCTGATGCCTGACCCGGCTGAATGATTGAACCAATGAATGAATGAATGACTCAGCTGACTCTGCCTCCCTGACTGATCGCGCTCCCAGCTGTAGATGCCCATGCTTGTCCTTCGTGACGCTTTCTACGTTCTTAGCGAGATGGTTGTACGAGGTTTGTTTCCCCTCTGCCAGGCTGTGAGGAACTTGAGACTGGAGATCAGGCCTGTGTTGTTTAGCAACAGAACCACAGAGCTGGCTCTATAAACTGGATGGATGGGTGGAGGGAGGGAGGGAGACGGGGGAGGGTGGGTGGGATGGTGATCAGGTTGAGGAGTAGGTGGGTATGTGTAGAGGTAGGTAAATTGAGGTATAAGGGGTGGATGACCATGTGGATGGACATCTAAGTGGGTGGCTAGATGGGGAGATGAGTGGATGGACCGATGGCTCAATGAATGGATGAAGCAGGTGGGTGGATGAATGAGAGGGAAGGGAGGGGAACAGAGGAGAAGGAAGCTAATGAGCAGACCAATGGATGAGAACTCGCTTGGTTAAAACAACATCCTGTCTCCCCCTCAAAGAGTCACCCAGTTAAGAGGGTGTGTCACTCCCATCCCCCCACCCACCCCAAGCTAGGGAGACTGTAGCTGGAAGCTGGCCAGGCGGACACCGAGTGTGTGCCCAGGCACTCCCCAGTCTGTCACCCACACGTGCGGATGGCACGACCCCGACAGGCTACAGGCGGCCAAGCAAGGGCACTTCGAACGCAGTGAGAGGAGCTTGGTGTGGCAGAGGGTTCCTTTGCCAGAAAAGAGTGGGCAGATGATGAGGAGACGAGCTGCCCACGTTTTTGGTGGCGGTGAGAGCTGAGCTCTGTGTGCTGCGGGGTAGGAAGGAGAGGGCGGAGAGCAGCGGCTCTGATCTGCCCCCTTCCTCCCATGAGGCCTTACGTGTTCCCAATGACCAGACACCTCGCAGGGAAACGCCAGTCCTGTTGCACAGAGGAGGGACCTCGGGCTCCCAAAGGCAAAGCCTCGCTGCTCCTAGAGGCAGAACCGGGATCCCAGCCCAGAGCCTCGGCTGCCATTGGCCAGGCCCTTCCCACGGGCTCAGCCTCTTGCTTTGAGATGTCCCAGAAGCTGCCTTAAGAACGAGAACACTGTTCCCAGGAGCTCCTGGCAGCGTGCTGTGCCCTGTGGAGCGGAGCCTGTGCACCGCGCCTCCTCAGAGGAATGTGTGGCTGAGCTGGGGTGGACGCTGCGAACACCTGCTTCCGGCTCCTCCCCCAACCCGCACTCAGCACCAGCAGGGTCGCCAGCACCAGCTTGGTAGTCCCGATGGTGCCCCTCCATGTCAGCTGTCATCCAGGAGTGAAAATGCCGGCCCTGGGCAGCTTGCGGGTTTGTTTAAATACAGTCCTGTAAGGCGTTGTGTGTAGCCATGTGTGGGTGAGCGTCAGAGCCTGTTACACCAGTAGCCAGTGTCAGTGTTTAAGTGGACGTGGCTGGCCTGGTGTGCGGGGAAGAGATCCATAGTTAGGTTGGGGCAGGGGGTGTGTGTCTCCCATGTCATGCTTTCGCTCATGTCATTGTTCATAAATAAGTGCTTCAAAACCCCTCCCCACACTCTCCACATGCGAACACTAACAGTCTAGGGTAATGGGCAAGGGTGTCAGCAATGGTGCAACACCCACTGGCTTCGAGGGAAAGCAGTTACTGTCTCAGTTTCTGTGGGCCGAGGATCCAGGCCCAGCTTAACTGTGTGCCCCCTCCCGGGCTGTAGTTGAGGTATTGGCCATTCCCATGGTCATCTCCGGGCTGCATCAGGTGGCTCTTGGCAGGATTCAGGTCTTCCCAGGTTAGGTTGATTTTTTTTTTGTAAAGATGTATTTATTTTTAAGAGTGTATTTATCTGAAAGGCAGTTACAGAGAGAGAGCGTGCTTCCATCCTCTGGCTAACTCCCCAAATGGCTGCAGTGCTGGCCCTGTATTTTCTTTTTTTTTATTATTTGAAAGGCAGAATTAGAGAAGGGGAAAGAGAGAGAGAGAGAGAAAGAAATCGTCCATCGTTGGTTCACTCCTCAAATGGCCAGGGCTGGCTCAGGCCTGAAGCCAAGAGCCAGAAGTTTCATCCGGGTCTCCCACGTGGTTGAGAGGGGCCCAGGTATTTTAGCCATCTTCCACTGCTTCCCCAGGCACATTAGCAGGGAGCTGGATTGGAAGTGGTGCAGCCGAGACAAACCAGTGCCCATATGCCTCATCGCAGGCAACTGCTTAACCCACTATGCCACAGCGCTGGCCCGCTAAGTGCTTTTTTTGAAATAAATAATTTGAAAAGCAGAGAGACAGAGCACCCATCTTTGGTTCACTCCACAGACACCTGTAACAGCTGGAGCTGGGTCAGGCTAACAGGGAGCCAGGCACCTGATCCAGGTCTCTCGTGGGACTGGCAGGGACCCAAGTATTTGAACTCTCAGCTGTTCCCTCCTAGGATGTGTGTTAGCAAAAAGCTAGGATCAGGAGTGGAACTAGGACTTGAACCCCGGCACTCCGATGTGGGATGTCGATCTCTTCGCAGGCACCTTAAGCATTAGGCCCCTCTAAGTGCTTTTTAACATCTTAATCTTCCTGTGGGGGTTATTGTCCCCATTTTACAGGTTAGCAGACTGAGGCACAGGGCGGTTAAGTCGCCTCTCCATGTGGTATAGCCAGGGAATGCAAGAACCCGCTGGTCTTTCTAGTCTCTCTGCCTTTCTCTTGACCCCTGTCTTCTGTTCTCAACCCAGCAGGCAAAGGGATCTTTTAAAACTGCAGGTCACATCAGTGCTCTGCTCAGAGCCCCTAGCATGGCTCCAAGCTCCTCTTCAGGATAGAAACCAAAGTCCTCCCAGGAGCCTACCAGGCCCTGCAGTGCCGCAGCTGCCTCTCTGAGCTCATCCCCTCCCACCCTCTCCCCCTCAACGCTCGGCCACACTCTCGCTGTTTCCCTAGCACGTCGGGGACCTGGGGCCTCGGAACCTTTGCACGTGCCCTGCCCACTGCGAGAAGCGCTCTCCCCCCAAATATCAGGGCTCCCTCCTCACCCTCCATCAAGATTTACCCAAATATCAGCGACCCTGTGAAGTTCCCTGAAGCCGTGTGGTTTAGCATGCGGGCCCCCCGACACACCCTGCGCCCCTCCCCTGCCTCTCACGCTAGTGCTCACCCCGGCATCCCGGACCGCGTGGAGATGCACGGTGCCAGCCGTCACTCCCGCCGGGGCGCAGGTGCCGCGAGGGCAGGGATGGGCTCTTTGGTCCGCGGCTGTGTCTCCAGCTCCCAGGACCGAGGCAGACACTCAGTAAAGAGCTCCTGGCCATGCCGATTGCTGTCCCTGCAGCACGTGTTCTGTGAGGAGTGCCTGTGCCTGTGGCTGGATCGCGAGCGCACCTGCCCGCTCTGCCGCTCGGTTGCCGTGGATACCCTGCGCTGCTGGAAGGACGGGGCCACCTCCGCACACTTCCAGGTGTATTAGGGCCGCCCCGGGAGAGGCAGGAGGGCCGGCGTCCCTAGGCCCAACCCTGCACTGCTCCCTGCCGCTGGGGAGGTCTCCCGACTCAGACCTGATCTCCCAGGTAGGTCGTCCATCCTCCCTCCGAGTCAGACACCTGGTGGTGTGTGAAGGCCCCACCTGTTGGTGACTTTAACTTAGTACCTAGCACGTGATGGTGCATACTAGGGAGGAGCCTGGAAGTCACCACCTCCCCCCTACCACGTCCCCGGGATAACCTGACGTAGTGAACACCTAGTGTGTGCCAGGCACAGCAGGCCACACCCTGCATGGGTCACCTCCCGTCACTCTCACAGCGGTCCAGTGACAGGGGTCTTGTTGGTTCCCCCATTTGACAGATGAGAAACCTGGGGCACGGAGCTTGATGGGGTAACTTTCCCAGGGTCACAAGTTTGCAGCACAGGCCCGGTCTGGCTTCCAGCGTGCAGCCAGCCCTACGGTTCAGATGCTGCAGGCGTGAGGCCCAGTCAGTGGGTGTGGTTTGCCAGCAGCACAGGAGGTGAGCCGAGGCGCTCCCTGGGTGAGAATCAGCGTCGCAGGTGCAGAGCGTGTGAAATACGGACCGCACGGGGGACGCAGACTGTCAGCATTAGTTCCTGAGTCTCCTGTGGCTGCGTCCATGGAAAGACCGGGCCCTTAGAATTGCTGTCTTCCTGGGCTGTGGAGGTGGGAGTGCCCACACCCACAGCGGCATCGAGAAAGCTCAGCCTGGCCCAGGCATAGGGATCCTGGGCTTCCCGCCTTGACTTCCTTACTCCTGCTCCTCCTCCTCCCTTTCCTCCTCCTCCTCCTCTTCCTCCCCCTCCTCCTCCTCTGTCCTGTCCCTCGCTGAAGTCCCAGGCCTGTCGGTAGCTCCTGTGGACGCTGCCATCTCCCCAGCTCGTCTTCAGAGTAGAAGGGACGAACCTGTTGGGATTTCTCCCCAAACCAGGGAGGCAGCACAGAGCACAGTCCCGATCTGTAATCCCTGTGATAAAAGGATTCTGTAATCCCTGTGATAAAAGCCCTGCCAATGTTCACGGCAAAATTAGGTCTCTGCCTGCAAAACTCTCCCTGCTCAGCGTCTGAACGAGACGGCACAGGTGACCACACGTGAGCTGCTGGAATCTTGCCCACCCTTCTCTCCCAACTCTATTCTCTCATTGTCAGCCTCAGCACCACGGCTGGTGCCAATGACAGCATTACAGGGAAAGCCATCTGCATAGCCAGTGAGCAGATGAGCACACAGGCCCCAGGAGAAACTGGGGGAGGCTGAGTGCCCCCACCCAGTAGACTGGGGCCGTTGGTCCCTGAGTCCCGTTGGCCCCGCCACACCAGGACTCTCCTTAGCTCAACATCCTGGCTCTGCCCGTCCCCAGCTGGACATCGCTTCCAGGGCCGTGTGGCATCTTTCAAGCTCTGTTGCCATGGCAATGGCTGTGGAGGTACAGTCCTGCTTGCTGGAAAATCAAGTAGGAAAAGGAAGCAGAGGGAAACAAGCTGGGGTGGGGGGGCGTGGCTGCTCTGCGTCTCCCCCCTGGAGGATGAGCTGATGGGAGGCACTGGAAGATCTCCCTGCCCTCGAAGATGCCCTCGAAGAAGCACAAGAGATGGCAGCTGGAGGAGGCTTCCTGAAGTGCCAGCGTGTCGAGGGCAGACCTGGAATCCTGAGCCCGAAAGCTGCACGGCTCTGGGAAGTCGCTGTATCTCCCGGTAGCCATCCCTGGGGAGACGCAGCCTAAGCAGATTATCCGCCGGAATCAAGGCAACACACGCTTTCATTTACTGGTGAACAAGCTCACCGTGCCCGTGCCCCAAAAAGAAAAAAACTAACATGCTGCACATGATGAGACAGCCGCTGCCGCTGTGGACTTGGCACCCGGAGGGGACAGCGGGAGCAGGTGAGATGGTTTAGTTTAGGACTTGACTTACCCGCTCCCTCTGGGGTGTCCTATTTGGAGGGTCTCTCCTGGGTGGGTTTCACTTCACCTGGCTTGGGGTGGGGGCATGGCTAATGCAGTTCTCCAAGCAGCAGGCCTGACAGAAGAGCCCAGAGACTCCACTGGAAAAAAAATTAGTATGCCCTCCTCCCGCTGTGGGCTTGCAACATGTTTGTTATAAACAGGGTTACTCCAGCATCAGGGCCCAAGGATCCTGCTCTGAACTTTTATAACCCACTGACTCGAGTTCCACGCAGTCCTCAGAAATGGCCCCATCCACACGGAAGATCCTGAGAAGAGTAAATGTAGGGGGAAGGGAAGGCGAGCTCTGGGCCCGGCGGGAGAGGAGGAGGGGCCAAGCCTGCGGGAGCCGTCGGGAGTCCCGGGGACTTGCAGCGCTTTCGCTGTGGGACAGACAGCGCCGCCCATCTCGCTGCTGGGGACTCGCTGTCAATAAAGATCGTGTTTGCACAATTGTGTTCATGGTTTTTTTTTGTTTGGACAGGCAGAGTAGATAGAGAGAGAGAGACAGAGAGAAAGGTCTTCCTTTGCCGTTGGTTCACCCTCCAATGGCCGCCGCATGGCTGATGGCAGGAGCCAGGTGCTTCTCCTGGTCTCCCATGGGGTGCAGGGCCCAAGCACTTGGGTCATCCTCCACTGCACTCCCTGGCCACAGCAGAGAGCTGGCCTGGAAGAGGGGCAACCAGGACAGAATCTGGAGCCCCGACCGGGACTAGAACCCGGTGTGCCAGTGCCGCAAGGCGGAGGATTAGCCTAGTGAGCCATGGCGCCAGCCGTGTTCATGGTCTTGATTTTCTTTTTCCCACTTCTAAGGCAAGCAAACCGATGGAGATCAGATGTGAAGCGCTTGGTGGAGTAGGTGCATTGTCTTACGTTGGTTTCCCTACAGAAGATTCTGTCCAGGTGCGTGAGCCTTACTAAGGAAAGGCTCCCGGGAGAGACCTGGGAGGGAATGAATGAAGCAGAAGAGGGAGAGGGGAAAGCCAGGCGAGGAGGAGGCTGCCGGGTCACGTGGGCAGCTCCAGAGTGCAGATGGTGCCTCGGAGATCATCCCCCCGACAGGGGGTTTGTTTTGTTTTTATTTAGCTGAAAGAGAGGTCAGTTCCATCTACTGATTCAGAGAGAGGGAGTTATTGATTGATTGATTTCCCATCTGCTGGTTCTGTCCCTAAAGGCCTGTGACAGCCAGAGCTGGGTCAGGCTGAAACCAGAAACTCCAACCAGTTCTCCCTCGTGGGAAGCAGGGACAAGAACTTGAACCCTTACCTGCTGCCTCCCAGGTGCACCTTATCCGGAAGCTGGATTGGGAGTGGAGACAGGACTCCAACCCAGCCACTCTGATATGGATGCAGGCATCCTAAGCAGTGCCTTAACCACTGTACCAAATCCTGCTTTGCCCGGCCCATGGTTTTTGTACTCAGGAAAACACATCAGCAATTGGCTCTGAGTTGACAAGGAACCTCCCAGGCACTCTGGGGTGTCTCCTGAGTGCCCCCACCATGTTCAAGGGCACATTGCAAGCTCTAAAGTTCTCAGGTCAAGCGGAGCACACACCACTGCAGGATGGGAATAAAAAGCTGGTAACAGATGAGAAGGGGCCCCACTAGGGCACCTCTGCTGCCTGCTCAGGGCCGAACTGCTGGCTGTTTGCACCCAGAATGTTTAGGTTGATTCAAGAAGAGTGTGCCCGGTTGCCAGAGTAGGGTGGCTGTATCAATGTATATTGATGGCATTAGGTGACATTTTGTGCCTCTCAGAACAACATGGTGACACCAGTTGTGGAAACATCAGGCAGCATTTTTTGGTTGCCATTGTTGGAAAACCAGATCATAAATGGGGCCAGCATTGTGGTACCGTGGGTTAAGCCACTGGCTCACGACGCTGGCCTGCTTTATGGGAGAGCTGGCTTGAGCCCCAGCTGCTCTGCTTCTGTGATCCAGATCCCTGCTGGTACACGTGGAAAGGCAGAGGATGGCCCGAGTGCTTGGGTCCCTGCCACCCACAGGGGGCTCTCTGACGGAGTTCCTGGCTCCTGGCTTTGGCCTGGCCCAGCCCCAACTGTTGGAACCATTTGGGGAGTAACCCACTGGATGGAAGCTCTCTCTGGAACTCTGCCTTTCAAATAAATAATTAAATAAATGTAAAAAGGAAAGCCAACTCAAATATGGCTTAAGTAGCAGGACTTGGTTCATGTAACACTGTGGGTTTCAGGTACAGCTGGAGCCAGGGCTCCGGTGACTAAAGAAGCTCCCACCTCTCCGCTCCTCAACTCAGCTTCCCTCGAAGTCTGATTTCCAGGCAGTCGGATCTCCTGTGGGCGGTCGGGCAGCCCCGGCAGCTCTGTGATTGTCACCCAGCAGCTTAACCACCCCAGCAAAAGGAAGCTTCTGTGTCCCCAGAGCTCCAGCAAGTGCCGAAGCTGACTGGTATTCCCCTGTGTCCACACCAGTGGCTTCAGCCTGTGGGATGCGGGCCAGCCTGGGTCAGATGTTGAGCCCTGCAGTGGGGACTGAGCCAAGAGAGAAGAAGGCAGACAGCCCCTCTGAGCCGCGTGGACTGACAGTGGGGAAGGCGTAGGTCTCATCAGAAAAAAACAACCTGCTGCCCACCTGCCATCCCCAGGAGTGAACTGGTCTCTTGGCGTATCTCCGGTCAGTTAAATGCAGATGAAGTTACCCAGCCGGTGTGGCCTGTGAGCACAATTGGGGATATCAGTCTACAAGTTCATTAGCTCATCCACATGAAGCCATGCACAAATGATGGTTGTGCAGACTGATCCGGAATTGTTGGGCGAGTTCCCCAAACCTGTTGCCCAACCCAAGAGGCTTGTTTAAAGCAACCCTTCCTTTGAGGAGTTCTCAGGAGCTGGAGAAGTGAGGTGAGTGTGTGGATGCTGCTCCAGGCGGGGTGGAAGTGTGCAAGACCCGCCGGCAGGAGTTCTCCCCGGCTTGGAGGCCCAACCTCCCAATAGAAAATGAAAACGCAAAGGCCTTTGGCTAGAAGTGCACAACCAATTTCTTTTTAATAATAAAGTCATTACAAATATGTACAAAGCGTCTCCAAGGTATGAAATCCCTCTTACAAAAGAGCACAATGAACCAACAACATCAGAACCCAGAACGGAATGTCCCCAAGCTTATTGCCTCTGTGGCTGGGCCAGAGGCCTCACCGAGGTTCCCCGTGCCCTCGAAGCCATCCCTGACGTGCACACCGGCTCCTTGGCGCTTGTAGTGCAAAAGACCTTGGAGAGAGGAACTTGGGGGTTCAGGTGGGAGGAGGGGACAGGGAGGAGGTAAGAAAAGTTTCCCATGTCCTGGGAAATAAATCAGAGAGGCCATTTGCCAACTAAGTGCTCCTTCCCAGGACCCTGCAGAAATCGGAAATGCAAAGAGTAGGGAATGAATGCGTCAAGACCCCCACTAAAGCACCCAGCCTGCCCTGAGAGTCCTTGAAGATGACACTCTGTGCAGGGGAGCTCCCTGGGCTCTCCTGCGGGGCCACACGAACGAGCAGTGCCATGGAACCACCTCCCCACGGGATCCGGGAGAGCACAGCAGCCAGCTCCTGGGCCAGGGGTCACACTGACTGGAGTCGAGATGTTGGCTCAGCCACTTCACTGTTTGAGAGGCCTTAGGCTAAGTTGCTAACCCCCTCTGAGCCTCAGCTTCCGTGACTGTAAAAGGAGAATCGGGACAGTGCTCTCTGCTGGAGTGGGCGTGAGGACTCCCAAGGGGGAAGACAGTGAGCACCGGGCACCGAGCTCAGCAGTGGCAAGCACTTGCTGGAGGGTAGCGTGACTGCTGTAAAAGCAGCAAGGACCAGTCAGTCTCTATGCTGGGGGTGAGTCACGATTTCAGGTCTTTTCATCACTGTCAGCTGACAGCGTGGCTCTTCATAAACACCATGTAACAGCCTGCCAGCAAGGCGTGGGGTCACAAAGGTGACCTGAGAAATCTGTTCAAGCCTGTGAACCAGACCAGAAAGGGACATTTCGCATGGTCTGGTTCCAAACAGGGCTGTCCCTCCACCCTCAGTAAGTCAAGTCTCATCTGAGATGGAATTCAACCTGGCACATTGTAGATGCCCAACAAACACGTGTTAAATGAATGAAAATTTTACAAATAAACTTGCAGCTTACGCTTTAAATGACACTTGGACCTCAGCGTCCCCCCCCTCTCCGTGGCGTTTGCAACCAGCTTCTATATAGCATGGCCAGTGTGTCTCTCCCCTTGTAACCAACCTGTGACTCTGCTCGCACAGGGTGACTTAAGGGAATGTCAGAAAAGAAAGCTGCTATCAACACACGAGAAGAAAACCTGTGTTCCAGTCACTGCAGCTTCTGATACCAGATGGACACTCAAAAACTCTACCCTAGCGAGCCAGTGTCCTTAAACGATACTTGTGTAGGAGAGGGGTGGGAGAGGACTCCCCCGGTTTCTCAGCCAGGGAGTGTGATAATTTGTTCCGGCAGGAAACACGAATCCAGTTAGGAGTACATGAGATCAGCTATATAAATAGTACAGCTTCCCTGTTCGGTGACAGCTATTTCCAGCCCCCACCCCCATTGAAATTGAAAAGAAACAAAAGGAGGCCAATGAAAGAAGTGGAAAAGAAGTCTCCAGGTTCCCAGTGAAAGGCTGGGGGCCAAGGGAGAGGGATCTGGGCTCTGGGAGACACTGGTGGCTCAGGACCATGGAGAGCAGCCAGTAGGGCTACCGGGTTACTGGGGCTGCTTCTCTGACAAAGGGACTAGGACGTGAAACCCCGCATTTGAAAACAGACTGTATTGGTTTATGGGTTTGGGGTGAAGAGAAGCTTCCAGAAGGGAGCAGATCTTACTGGAATGTTGTAGTCCCGGGGGTCCCAGTCCCTGTGGCTCCCAATCCCTGTCCTCTGAGCTCCAGCAGTGCCATCAGGAAGGCGGAGGCAAACAGCCTCTCCACCTCATTATGCAGCAAGCTCCCAAACCGATGATCTCAGAGTCCTCCCTTGGCTTTGCAGGGACACACACACACACACACACACACACTGCTGTCTGCTGAAACCCGATATGAGGTCTTTTTAAAATTTATTTCAAAGCCTCCCTCCCTCTCTCTCTCTCTTCACAGACGCTCTGCAGCGAAGCTAATCAAAATCAATGGCTCCTTGGCAGCCGGAGAGAAAGGGGGAGGGGGGCAGGGAGGGAAGGGCGGTGCCAGCACTTTGCACAGTGTGGAAATGTTTTTCTTAAAAAAAAAATAATAAAACAAATACAACCCACCCCACTATCTCATGCAATCCAAGTAATGCAACGAGAGGTGGTGGAGACCATATATACATACATCTATCATGCCCCTGTGACCTAATACAAATGTCCATCAAGGAGTCAAATCTCATATAAAAACAACCATTAAAAACAACCCCTTGTCAAAAATCGGGGCAGCCGAGAAGTGCACTCAAATGAATGATGTGCAAGAAAAGGCCAGGATTTGGTAAATACACGGCTTCTAGCAACTCATGAGACTATGTACAAGGGACTTGGCTGCGAGGCTCCCCCACCCCCGCCGGGAGGTCATGGGTGCCCAGGGCCCTCAGCCGTGTGGCTTCAGTGCTGGCAGGGTCACCCGGAATGCCAGCCCCAGCCTCTGGAGGCCAGGTCCTGCAGGGGAAGTGCTGTTTGCAGAAGACGAATCAGGGTTGGAGAAACAAGTCCCGCCCCCCTTCCTCTGTGTCTTGGTGGCCAGCAGGAAACTGTGATTGTGTACAACAGCAGCAACAGGACCCCCAACCCAGAAAATGGGGATGACTGTGACTAGGGGAGTGCCTGTAGGGAAGCAGGACGCTCACGGCGGGGTGGGGCTGTCACGACCTGCCACTCTCTGACACCCCTGCCTGTCTCCTGGTCCCCTGCAAACATCTACTGACAGGCAGGGCTGGAGCCAGGAGGGAAAAACAAGTTTTCCAGAAACAAGCACTCTTGTTCCCTTACCTTCAACCATTCTGGGGTGCATTTTTTCTCTCAAGGGCCTTTTAGGGAAACACAAGGCATGGACTTAAAAAGAAAAAGAAAGGACCCCAGCTCCCAGCATGCTGCAGCCCTGCAGGGCTGTATGTGGGGAAGGGCCCGCTGACTTCCAGCAGTGGGGATGCCGAGTAATGCCCATTTCAGCGCCAGGCAGCTTTTGCCACTGCCGATACTGCTGCTGGCTTCTAGAACCAGAGGCAGGGGTGACACCCAGCCCGCCAGATGCCCCTGTCCTAGGTCCTGGATGGTGACCTGGAGCATCACTGTCTCCACCTGCCGCCCGGCCATCTCAGCTGTGAAAATGCAGTGTGTGGTAGCCCACACAGAAGAGCAATACCAGTTCTTGTTGGGTTTTTTAAAAAATGAAGGCCAAGAAACAAAAGCAAAGCCCCACTGCTCCCTGAAGAGTCTTTGCAGCCAAGTCTCAGTCCAGCACAATCTTTTTTTTTTTTTTTTAGCCCTTCTAGAAACTTCTGAAAATAGTAGCTTCTCCTGGGAAGGAAAAAAAATCAGACCTGTCAGTCAGTGAGATGCTGGTGCATTTCATGTCAGTGACCCCTGCCCCTCCCCCAGTGACCCTTGCTTATAAATCACCCTCAACCAGAATGTGGCTATGTCTTGTCCCTTTCATCCACAAAACCAAGGCCCTGAAATCCCCTGGGGGTAGGGAGAGGCCATGGGCTGGGCTCCCAGGATAGTGGTGGGGGAGGCAGAGAAGCCAGCAGCCAAGTCACACAGGAGGTCAGTTTTGCACCTCGTAGCCAGCAGGCCACCCAGTGTCGCCCCCTCCCAACCCCGTCAACCCCAAGGTTTGCTCCAGAACCACCCTGGATCCTTTGTCCCCACACTGGGAAAGAGAAGACTCGCAAGTGGCACTTTTGCAACCCATCCTGGAACAGCAAAATAGACATCTGTCTCGTGCCCTGGCTTCCAGCTCTGTGCACAGAACAACAAGGCAGTGCCCATGAGACCACACTTAGCACCAGCAAGATGGGTGAAGCACCAGAGATGCCACATGGGTGGGAAAAAAAAAAAAAAGTCCCGTTTCTCCTGATACGACAGCGGGAGCTAGTCATCTATCCAGATGGAGGGGAGAGAGAGAGAGGTCAGGACGTGTCGGGAAACAGAAGTGTCCCAGACTGCCCCTACACAACAGGCCCCGAGTCCTCCTACATTTTTTTTCTACCTTGCCTTTTCCAGTTGTACCTCTTCCTCCATCAGCATCTATCCCCAGAGCATTGGTGGACGCTGTGGCTCATTCCCACCAGTCTTTGCAGATGGTCTCGGTACACAGCAGGCACCTCTCCTCCAGTGCCCCAGACATTACAGTGTCAGAGTTCCCCTGGCAAGGTGCAGGAAGGGAGGGACCGTGTCCTCAACAAGGCATGCACTGATAAGGAATATTCACGATTTCTCTTTTTTATATATAGAGCTGTATGTAAATAGCATCGGGGTCTGCTTCTGCAGTTGGAATTCCAAAGGGCTTCCCCAGTCCCGTTCCGTCTCTGCTATTGCTACGGGCGCCGTCTTTGTTCTCCACTTCCTTCTCGAAGTGCCGACGCGGCCGTTCAAGCTCTGGGCTCCCCCTCGGGAAAACGGGAACCAGCTTTCTCCAAGGACACAGGGTTTTCACCAACCTGCAGAAACAAACATGGGCGTTTTGGTCACTGCTGGGGTGACGTCACTGCAGCCCAGCCAGGGCAGGCCTCCGCACAGTCAGCCCAGGATGCTGGGGTTGGGGGGAGGAGTAGGGGGGACTGCTAGAAGCCATGCACTGATGTGGAGGAGGACCCCCCAAAACTGGTCTTACTGCACCCCTCCCCCAGAGCTCTGTCCCTAGAGCAGCCTTCCCTAGATAGACATTTGTGCCGTGGGCGTTTGGCACAGCAGTTAAGACCCTGCTTGGGATGCCCCCAAGCCACATAGGAGTGTCTGGGCTGGAGTCTCTGTTATGCTTCTGGTCCAGCTTCCTGCTAATGCGCGCCCTGAGAGGCAGCAGGCGATGGCTCAGGTACCTGGGTCCCTGCCACCCAAGTGGGAGATCTGGGTTGAGTTCCCAGCTCCTGGCTTCAGCCTGGCCCAGCCTGGGCTGTTGTGGACATCTGGAGTGTGAACCAGGGAATGGAAGATCTCTGTCTGTTTGTCTGTGTGTCTGTCTGCTTCTCTTTCTCTGTCTCTCTGCCTTTCAAATAAAGAATAAAATAGACATTTGCACACACACACGCACACACACACACACACTGTTCTCAAACCTAGATATTTGCTAGGTGTCCTCTGCATTCACACTAGGGGCTCTAGAGCTACACTGCTTCCTGCTCCTCCAGACTAGGACGAGAACTTCACCTGCTCACTTCCTACCACGTTCAAGGCAGAGGCACAGCACAGTCTGCTCTCTTCATCCATTCATTCACTCATTCATTGCCCCATTCATTCATTCCAAACATGCCAGGCACTGCACAGGTGCTCCACATCCAGTGACGTAATTCCTGCCTTTGTTGGCCTCAGAGACCCACAGAGGGTAACGGAAGAAACTGACAGTGAAGAGCATCTGGGGAGACAGGGGCCGCAGGCACCCTGGGAGGGGCAGTTTCTGGGGCCCGCGAGAGTCAGAGAAGTCTCCTGAGAGAAAGAGGTGCCAGGGAAGGAGCCAGGCTAAGGAGACGAGGCAGTGCAGGCAGGGCAGAGGAGAGGGTGCACCTGAAGCAGAGACTCCAACGTGAGTGCTCGCAGCAGCAGGATGGGGACGAGCCCGAGAGGGCAAACAATGCAACTGTCCGTCCAGTGGTGTACAGATGGAATATTACTCAGCCATCAAAAAGAGAGGAGCGTTGGCACTCACTGCAGCAGGATGACCCCTGAAGACGTGATGCTAAGTGAGAGAAGCCAGGCGCAAAAGGACAAAGATGTGTGGGTGCCTTTTAGGAAAGTGCACAACAGACATGTTCAGGGACAGGAAGGAGAATGAGGACAGAGGCCTGGGGCTGGGTAAAATGGGAACCAGGGAGGGTGCCTGCTAAAGGAGGCGGTTTCTTTTGGGAAAATGAGAATATTCTGGAGTTGATTGGGAGATGGTTACACAAGCCTAAGAACAGATGAAAAAACACCAGCTGGTACAATTCAAAGGGTGGATTTTATGGTTACAATTTAATGGGGGGGAGATAGGATTTGACACATTACTCTCATGCAGGTCTAAGAATGATACAAACCAAGTGGTGTGGGAGAGCGATCACTTTAATACTTCCAGGTTGGAAAAAGTCCAAGATGTAGGAGCTCTAAGAACGGTTATCAGGAGGTTCCTCCTGCTTCTGGCTGGGTTTGACCAACAGGAGGCGCCAATGGGCAACCGAGATCCCAGGATCTACTCCCCAGCTGCCTTCCGCTGGGCGCAGATCGGCCATGGTTGCTGCAAAGTCACTCCGGGGCACTGACTGCACCTCCAGGTCCTACTCCCCGAGCCCTGCCCCTTCAGGCCTTGGGGCGGGGGAGGCACCCCTGCACTGCAGCCTGGGGTGCTGCATCATCCCTCGCTGGGCTCCTAGCCCTGCCCATGTCTTTGCCTTTGACCCTTTACTGTTAAACTCTCCTCTGATTGCTCAGCTTGAGGTTACTCTGCCCGGTTCATCTGACTGTATGAACAAGACGAGTCACAAACGCAAGGACCCAAATTGACGTTAGCTGACCATCACAAGGATCCGACTCAGTGACTTCAAACCTTTTGCTTATGACCTGCTTTGGTGGAGGCCAAAGACCTCTGCAGCCTGCCCAGGCCAGAGGTCCCCTTTCATCCCGTTAGGGCACAGCATAGTAGGAGCTCTGTCTACATAGCCGGATTCAAATTGGACTGGATTAAAGTCATCAGTCAGCTCCACTGAGAAGTGCATTCTACTTTGTTAAAACCAGCTTTGATGGCTCTTAAACACACTTAGTCAGTGTCCAGCCTACAGAATGAAGGCAGTGCAACCCTGCAGCATTATCTCCGGATAATTATGCTGCCCTAAGAAGAAGGAAGGGAGAGAAAGCACAATTAAGCACCTACTGCATGCCATCATCGCCTGTTGGCTTTGTGCTAAGCAGCGATCCCTGCACTGGAGAAGGCCAAGCACCTGCTGTCACTTTGCCCCTAGCCTTACTGAAGACATGGCATGCCACAGGCCAGTCCCAGCAGTGACCACTGTCCCAAGGTGTGTTGAAAGCCCAGAAGCCAGGATGGAGTTTTGTTCGCTAGGGAGGCTTCAGAGAGAAGGCAGATTTGAAGGGACACACATCTATATGTTGTCTATACTGGGAAGGAGAAGAGGTCACTTTTTGCAGGGGGTGGGAGGAAAGGGGAAGGACCTAAGGAAGATGGAGGTCAGTGGCAAGTGTGGCTGGAACGGGGGCCCTGCCGGGCAGGGAGCCACGTCAGAAGGTGGCAGGGACTGAGGCTGTGTCAGATCCATTAGCTGAATGCAGGTGACGCAGGAAGAATCACATGGCTCCAGGAGACATGGGAGAAGCCATTTTAAATGCTGTGCTGACTGCATTCACGAAAATAATGCCATCTTCTTGCAAATTCGGGGCAGCCAGCAGCCACCCGTCACGTTTCCTACTCTGACTCCCTGAGCCCTCAGTGCGTCTCCCTGAGAATTTCTTGGGGCCACTCAATAGACAAATTCCCCAACCCACTGACGTCTTGGTTACAGACTGGCATCCACGGTGAACCACAAGCACCAGAAATGCACACTTGTGCCCACCACGACCCCGTGTGTGTTCCCGCGCAGTGGGTGTCACGTCACCAGGTCCCACCATGAAGGGTGGGCTGCTGGGCACCTTAGGCTAAGGGATCTAGTCTACAGAAGTGGCCACCTAAGTGGGCTCCAGAATGTGCCCTCAGGTTTGACTTGTAACAATGTGTCCATCTAGCCGGTGCCGTGGCTCACTAGGCTAAGCCTCCGCCTTGTGGCACCAGCACACCGTGTTCTAGTCCCGGTCGGGACGCTGGATTCTGTCCCGGTTGCCCCTCTTCCAGGCCAGCTCTCTGCTGTGGCCAGGGAGTGCAGTGGAGGATGGCCCAGGTGCTTGGGCCCTGCACCCCATGGGAGACCAGGAGAAGTACCTGGCTCCTGCCATCGGATCAGTGTGGTGCGCCGGCCGTGGCGGCCATTGGAGGGTGAACCAATGGCAAAGGAAGACCTTTCTGTCTCTCTCACTGTCCACTCTGCACGTAAAAAAAAAAAAAAAAAAACAATGTGTCCATCGACAGAAGACTTGTAACAATGTGTCCATCGACAGAAGACTGGATGAACACAGGAAGCTCCATGCTTATTAGAAGGACACAGATGGAAAGGAGCCAGGACAGAACAAGGGCTATGATTTCTGAACTGAAGACAGCAAATGGCCAAACAGCCCGGTCTCACCCCCATTTCCTTTCATGAATGTGTCTATACAGAAGGGACTTTAGAAATGGAATGAAAAATGAGTTCATATTGGTGCAAAACTTTGAAATGCAGGCATATGACAGTCATCAAAAAGTTCATGAAAACTGTGTTGTGCGTGGATTTCACATTTTTTGCCCCAAAATAAACCTATCTTTTGATTCTATTTTCCCCAGAACTTTTGAAGTACCTTGTGCACGCTCATGCACACCTGTGCACACACAGACACATCTACACACAGGTTAAGTGATCTTTATTCCAAATGCTTGGGACCAGAAGTATTTGGGATTTTTGGCATTTTGGAATATTTGCATGTACAAAATGACATGTTTTGTGGGAGGGGACCCAAGCCTAAATGCTAAATTCTTTTATTTTTGTTAGATTTATTTATTTATTATTGAAAAGGCAGAGTGACAGAAAGAGATCTTCCGTTCTCTGGTTCACTCCCTAAATGGCTGTAACAGCCAGGGCTGGGCCAGACCAAAGCCAGGAGCCTGAAATGCCATCCGGGTCTCCCACATGGGCACAGGGGCCCAAATGCTCGGGCCATCTTCCACTGCCTTCCCTGTAGGATTAGCAGGGAGCTGGAATGGAAGTGGAGCAGCCAGCACTAGGACCAGGTAGTTCGTTACAGTAAAAAAAAAAAAAAAAAAAAAGGACTTGTAATATAAGGCTTCACTTTTTTCTTGTTTAAAAAATACCTTTCTTTGCTCTTATGTCTGCCATGTGATAAGCTACAAATTTAAACAACAGAGAAGGTCAAACAACAGCCCTAAGCCCCACTCCGGAGCAGCCGGTATTAACAGCCAATTGTGCAGCCTCCCAGAGTATTTTCCTGTGTGTTTACAAACACTTGGTAGCTTTTTTTGCTTCTTACATTCCTTTCTACTTACTTGAAAGGCAGAGAAACAGTGAGACAGACAGAGATCCTCTATCAGCTGGTTCACTCCCCAAATGTCCAAGATAACTGAGACCAGGCCAGGCTAAAGCTAGGAACCAGGAACTTAGTCCGGTGTGGGTGGGAGAGACGTGGGTACTGGAGCCATCACCTGCCACCTCCCAGGCTGTGCATGAGCAGGAAGTGGGAACGGAGCAGGGATTCAAACCCGGGCACTCAGATACGAGACTCAGGGCACCCGGCGTCTTGACGGCTGCACCAAATCCTTCCCCTCCTCCTTTCTTCTTTTCTGAATGTGATGTCCCCAGAGCCCAGCACACAGTAG